ATTTTTACTGTTATTGTTATTGTTATCAATATTATCATTATTATTATCATCATTATTCCTAATAATGTAAATGTTATTTTTGGTGTTAGTAGTAGTATCATTATTATTACGATTATCAATGTTAATATTCTTATTGTTATCATTGTTATTATTGTTATTATTAGTAGTATCATTATTATTATTATTATTATTATTACTATAATTATGATTATCATTACTATTGTTACAATTACTATTAATTATTATTGTTATTATTATCATTATTTTATTATCCTCCTCCTTCTCATTATCATTATCATTATCATTATTGTAGTTATTATTGTCTTTGTTATTATCAATATTTCTATTTTATCATTATCGTTATTACTACTATTTTCATTCTTATCATCATTACCAATATTTTTGCAACTATTATCATTACCATTATTATTATCATTATTATTATTATTATTACCATTATTATTATTATATCATTTTGTTGTTGTTGTTATTATTATTATTATTATTATTATTATTATTATTATCATTATTGTTATCATTATTATTATTATCATTATTATTATTATTATTATTATTATTATTATTATTATTATTATTATTATTATTATTATTATTATTATTATTATTATTATTATTATTATTATTATTATTATATATTATTATTACTATCATTATTATTATTATTATCATTATTACTATTATATTATTTACTATTATCAGCATCATTTTTGTTTTGTTATTGTTTTATTATCATTATTGTTATTATCATTATCATTATTATCATTTTCTTATCATTATCATCTCCGTCATCACCATCATCATCGTAACCACCATAAATTCTCAACATCATTTATATTACTATAATAAACAGATTATCATTATTATCATCTCCGTCATCACCACCACCATCGTAACCGCTTTTAATTCTCAACGTTATTGTCTCCATCATTAATATTACTATCATAATAACCTTCATTATCATCTTTACTGCAACAATAATCTTTAATCATCCGTCCAATTTCAACGTTACACAACCCGTACTTAAAGACACCGAGAAAATTTTCGACAGAACTCGACCCGTAACTAAGTCTCGGTTTGTTATTGTTTACGTCCAGCATGTGTCGTCAGCTTCTTGTGGGAGTGAAAAGGGCGATAAAATAATGGTTCATTTGCGTTGCTGAAGATGTAGTGCTGAGTGAAATACGACTGATTGTTCAATTTATATGTGAAGGGTAAGTTTGGGTGTAAAATGATGCGGTTTTGTAATGTTTTCTTTATTTTTGTGATGATGAAATGGTACAGGACAGTTTCATAGTGTCATATTGTTTTATTATCATAATGTTGTGTTGTAGCTAATGCGAAAAGCAGATATATAACATGCAATTGCCATGAAAGAGGTCTGGGTGCATTCTAGGGTAGTGGTCTGTTTATTAAGTATATGTTACATTGGACGGTAATTTTTCAGAGTACATTCGCGTAACCGATCACTTCGATTTTGGTATTGAGGGATTCTTCTCACACTGTTATCTAAATATATCGAGGTCATGCCATGGAAACACCCCATTAGCATGAATATTGGCCCCGATAGCAGGGGAGGGCTTGAGAGGTACCAGGGAAATATCTGGGTAAAATATGAATTATATACACTGAATCAGTCACTATAATTTCTAATGCAGGTGGCTGTGACCCCCCCCCTACTCCCCCATGGGAGGCTACTGGCCCCCAACCTCCTCAATGGAAGACAAAGAGACCTCCATGATTCACGGCATGATAGAGCGTTCAATCAACATGCACGAGATGCTGATGCCGAGTCTGTCGAATGCTCTCTCCTACTGGGAATATATGGGATTCTTTGTCTTCCATTGTGGGGTTCCAGTAGGCACAACCCCCTTCATTAGGCAATATAGTAACTAATGCTGTGCATATTATTCCTATTTTACCCCACAATTTCCTTGGTACCTCTCATACCCTCCCCTGCTATTGAGACCAAGAATGTGGGTGTTTAGGGGCAGAATTTCTACATATATGTGTACAACAGGATGAGAAGAATCCATCGATACCAAAATTGTTGTGATCGGGCATGCGAAGATATTTTGTACAATTACCCATTTTGCTACATGCTTGCATCCAACATGCGTAGAAGAAGGAGTGGGAATTTTTTCTTGGGTAGGGGAGGGGGTAAAGGAGCACAAATCATGTTGGCTGAAATGCAAAGGACTTCTGCCTGAATGGAAATCTATACTATGATGTTTTCTCTTTCCTTGTTATGTCTTGACACTGAACTGTTTATGTAGTAATCAAGGGTATATCCATGCCTAATTGCAATTTGGCAAAACAGTCAACAAATATACTATCCATACTGTAAATACTTTGGGAGATAAGAGACTAGACTGGTTGAATATTTAACTGTTATCTTCTCATTTGCATAGCCAGTGTATGTGGCCAATTAGAACTAATATACATAAAAATCATAAATTGCTACAGTCAGTTGGATTTTGTGAAACCTTGGTCAACAATGTTAAAATGTCCTGACTTATGATTGTCCTGTTGATTAAGTGATAGATTTTAGGTGTTTTCTCTGTAAATGAACTGGATGGCAAGTATTTTGATATTATAACATTTCCCCCCAAATAAATGCATATACAACAAAACAAATGCAAGTTAGTTGATTATTTATCAGTGAAGAGTGAAAATCAAAGGAACTGCAGTGAGTATTACATATCTACCTTTATTTTCAGTTTGTATAAGTATTGCCATAAAGAATAGTCTTAGGCTGTCATTCTATTTCATCATGTAGTTTTTGATTCCCTTATTCTACCACAAACACAAAATGCAGAATGGTTTTGAATTTTAACTGGTACATATACATCATACTCTGAAAGATTTCAGATCCTCGGAGCATTTAAGATAGCTGTTATATTTACTGCTGCATCTGCTATGGTATAGTAATAAAGGAAGCCTTATATATTAGTAGCAAAGCAAAGTATTTGAAATTAGCTGTATGATTTTTAGAAAATAAAGATGTAATGTGTGGGATATCGAATATGATTTATTGACTTTGTATTGATAAATCTTATTTGGCTGTTTTGCATGAGGTATGAGTTTACTCAGCCAGTAAGCCTGCGCATATTTTCATTCATAACAGTACCACTTTTTATTATTAAGTTTGTTAGTGAAGTATGTTTTATGGTCACATGTTTATGTACCACCATAATCTATAATTTGTTACACTGAAATGTCAGTATTTGGTTTGATCAGGGGTTCTCAAACTTTTTAACTCATTGACCACCAACGGAGTTTCACATTTTCTATTGACCCCTAGCTTTTAATTCAAGGAGAGAAAAAACTACGTTGGCAAAATCAATATAAGTAGTAGTAGAAGTAGTCATTGATGAAAAGGAAACAGGTGCCATTGCATCTACTACACACACTTTTCAACTTCAGGTCACAATAATCAGTTCATGGACAGCACTTGCACATGCTGATAGTGTACTGACCTACTGGCTCAGTGCGCAACACGTACAGGATTACACACTGTACGGACAGTAAAGCTGCGAGAGACGATGTGGGGGGGAGGTTTGGCTGAAGGTAGTGTTGCCAGAGTTTCTAAAGTTTCTGAACGTTTATTGAAATTTTGACCTGTTGTCTGAATTTAAAGAACTGATAAAAAATACTAACAGTGTCAATTTATTATCGTGAATCTAAAATTGGTTGCTTGAGTGATTCCCTTTAACTCCCAGTAAACATTCACTGACTCTTTGCTTATTTATGGACACCCTTTAGATCCTTTGGCTAGTCATTGACCCCTTGGATGATCCTCTAGGGTTCAGCATCGACCACTTTGAGAACCCCTGGCTTAGATGAAGTTGGGTTGCGTGCATTTATTCTTCCTTTTCTAGCATATATTTGTGAAAATGTGAATGTGATATAAGATGAGATATTTATGTATATAGACAAAATAGAAGGAGATCTGGCCATAGGTAGATGAAAAATGTGTATTAATTGATGAATGAGTTATGAGATTGTAAATCTTAATTTGTCTTTGTTTTATAATTTTTTATTTATGAATTAATTCTGTATTTATTTTTACTCTAAATGAATTCATTCTCATTTTTTTTTTTTTTTTTTTTTAACAACTGTAGACCCATATTTTTCAGGTCACCGGGATTATAGCCCGAACATGGCATGCCAAGGTTTGCAGTACATTGTAGACCTTGAAGATGAAATTGCTCTCGAAGGATTGGATGGAATTACCTTGGAAGGTAGGCTAAACTATGGAACATATAATGAAGTTTGTATGATCCATCTAGAACAATGCAGATAGATATGAAATTGGAAATATGAAAATTGTATACTCATTGTTTATATCTGATCTGCCAATCTGTCTGCATATATCATTCAGTCTAGTTATCCTCCTATACCTCAGATATATCTCTCTCTCTCTCTCTCTCTCTCTCTCTCTCTCTCTCTCTCTCTCTCTCTCTCTCTCTCTCTCTCTCTCTCTCTCTCTCTCTCTCTCTCTCTCTCTCTCTCTCTCTCTCTCTCTCTCTCTCTCCCCCCTTCTCTCTTTCTCTCTTTCTAGCTTCATCATATCATTATATATCCAATCTCTTCCCTAACCTCCCCCAAAGCACTATGGACTCGCCTCAAACAGCGGCCCAACTTCGAGGCCAACATGCCCATTGACAGTGACAGCAAGGCATTTTTGTGGTCGCTTATAGTCCAAGATGAAGAGATCTTCCTTTTCGAGCTGCCAACGCCAAGAGACAAGTTGGAGATATTTAACAGGTGAGAGGATCAGAGTTCACCTGTGAGGGAGATTTTGTCGCTAAGGGCAGTTGTTGTGGCAGCAGTTGTATAGAGGGTATAGGGTAGTGGGTTGTGAGGAATTTTGCTGTGTTACCCTTGATGTTATTGTATTTACTATGATTATTGTTATGATTGTTATGATGATTATTATGATTCATTATGATGATTATTTTTATGATTATTGTGATGATTATTTTTATGATTATTGTGATGATTGTGATTATGATTATTATGATTGTTATCATCATCATTATTGTTATTCTTAGCATTATTATGATTATTATTATTGTTATTATTATTGTTATTATTTTTATTATTATTATTGTTTTTTAAACTTATTCAATATGATATCCAGTTGTAAATAACATACCTAAATTTATAAATGTTCAGTCCTATTGTTTTATGATCCCACCCTTAAAGATATGAACACATGGACCCTGAGCTGGGAATCGTGCTGGAGCCAGAGGAAGAACCAAAGGACATATACCCATTCCACCCTGTAGAGGATGAGAGCGAAGGCATGCGAGGGTCGTGCAAGATGTACCACGAGCGCGTCAACATATCGGATTCTGCCTCGTTGCTGACGCTGGAGGAGGTGGAAAAGCAGTAAGGGACCCTAGGAGTTTGTCGCAATATGTTGAAGTGAAGATTATTATTTTTTCCCTATTTGTAGAATGTGTCTGTAGATGTTTATTCAGGTACAGTCTTCTTCTTCTTCTTCTTCTTCTTCTTCTTCTTCTTCTTCTTCTTCTTCTTCATTTCCTCCTTCCCCTTCCCTTTCTTCTCCTTTTCCTTCTTCTTCTCCTTCTTCTTCTTTTCCTTCTTCTTCTTCTTCTTCTTCTTTTTCTTCTTCTCCTTCTCCTCCTTCTCCTTTATTATTATTATTATTATTATTATTATTATTTCTTCTTTCTTCTTCTTTCTTCTTCTTCTTCTTCTTCTTATCTCTTTCTTCTTCTTCTCATCTCTTCTTCTTCTTCTACTTCTTTTTTTGTAAATTGAGCTGGTAATACTGTATGTAGGAGGAGTTTGAGAGAGCATGGAGCAATGAACATAGTAGAATGCCCGTAACTGCTCAGTGGATAGCCACTTATATAGCAGTGACTCATCCCACACACAGCATTATCAGATCACCGCTGAAAAAGATGTTACACTCTTGTCTTTTTATTGAGGTGACGGTGCACTTAGCAAGTTGGTGATGATTTAGGAGTTTGACAGGTTTGTGACAGTTGATGACAGTTTGAGAAGTAGGTTGACAGTTTGGTGAGGATGACAGGTTGACAAGTTGGTGATGACAGGTTAACAGTTTAGTGAGGATGGCAGTTTGACAAGTTTGGGATGACGGATGACAGGTTGATAGTTTCTTGACGGCTGATGACAGGTTATAAGTTACTGATTGTCAATGAAAATTTGATTGATGATAATTTGACAGGTTAATGATCACTGATGACAGGTTGACAAGTAATGATTCATGACAGGTTGATGATGATTGATGACTAATGACAGGTTTGTGATTAAAGGTGACAGGTTGATAAATTATTGATAGAGTATGACAGTATGTTAGTGATGACTGATGACACATTGACAGGTTGGTATTGACTGACAGTAGATTGATAATTGGTGATAATTATTGTGTATAGTTATAGGTTTATATATGTTTATTACCACTAACTTCTCCTGTGCATCACTACCACAGTAAGAAACACGGGTAAAAAAATTCCTGTAGTTGATTCTACATACGTGTGTGGGTGTTCAAGGTATTGTTTTTTTGTTTGATATTTGTAAAAAAAAATTTAGAAATTTATTTGTTTACTTGGACTAACTTTTATGAGTCAGCATATATATTAAGATTTATTAGAGATTTATTTTATGGTTGTGTTTATGCCTTTCAATACTGATTTAGAATTATTGAATTTAAATTCTAAGACCTACATGAATTCTTTTTTTTTTTTCTTATTTCTTTTGTTTTGCTTTAATTTGTTTTGCCAAGACCAGGTTTTGATTTATCAGGCAAAGAAGAGTATCTTTCTATTTTCTACCATTTACCTATAGATAAATGGTAGAATAGTGCTAATATATAATACCTTTTTTTCCATTTTACAAAGATATTATTGTAAGTATTAGGTACTGACTATATATATTCTTTCACAAATAGGTATGGAGAGAAGCTGGTGCTTGTGGCCAGCCAGACACTGCGAAACAAGGCCCTCTGCATCTCGGCTTGCATTGACAAGTTCTATGACCTGACGCTTACTCAGTACATCATACTAGAGCGTATTGGCCGATCACGTCGCATGGGTGAAATTACACAAGGGAAGGTACGAAAATCTGTGTTTATATGTGGAAGATCAGGTTGGATCAAATTTTAATTGGGATTATGGCAAATAGTTAACTATTGGTTTGGCAAGTGTAATTTGATAATGTAACTCTAGTTGTGACAAATTTATTGTATTTATAGTTTTTAAAGAAGATTTATGCTGTGATTGTTGGTGTTTAGATTCCAAAAAGTTTTTTAGAGATGCATAGTTGCTTTGAATCTAGAAAGTATTATAATTTTACCTTTTTGAGGCATATGGTTGGCCCCCTGGTGGTCAAAACAGATAAATAATTTCTCTGTGGCTTTCCCAGGTACTAGTTAGCAAAAATTTCCAGAAACACTTAAAGCAAGTATATGAAGTGTTGGGCATCATTTCTGAACCTATTAGCAAACCTCTTCAAGCGATATGATCTCTGAGACCTCTGCTTAATTAAAACCTAAATGGAAATGTAAAAATCTTCCTCATCTCCCAGATCAGCTTAGCGGCCATGGGCGACAATCCAAAATCGATGTTCTACCACCGCAAACGTCTGCTGAAGCTCAACCTGATCACCAAGCAGCCACACCAGCAAAAGGGGCACAAGGGACAGACCTATAACGGGTCCCTGCTTCATCTGACGATATTGATAAGGTTTTTGCTTGGAGTTAGGGCTGAGGGTTATTATTTATTTTTTTTTAATATTCCATTACTATTATAATGGAATATAAGATGTTTTAATGATAATAATTTCATTACATTATTTTTGCATTTTGTTGAGCTATTACATTTCTTTTGTGAGTCCATAAATCATTTTTATCCATTTTCATTATTTTTGCATTATGATTTATTATTTTCAGGATGCATATACCATTTCAAGTATATGGGATGAAGACTGCTTTTTACTCTAATATTCTTTTCTTTTTTGTTTGTATTTTCTATTATATAGATTGTGATGTGGTATAGTTTTTAAAAAGTTATTAATGGAAGGTAATAAGAATTTAATTTGAATGAAAAAAAGGAAATTGCAGTGACATATATTTTTTAAAAGTTCATGTATAGGAAAGGTATTGTATTTGTGGTATTGAGCATTGTAAAATGTAGGTCATCTCCAATATATGTTTTATTCAGTTTGTACATATGAATTGATTTTAGGGAATTACATTATGTATTTTTCAATACATTGCCAAATGTCCTTTCATGAGTCAAGAAAAATATATTTAGTATTTTGATATAAGCATGAAATTCTTTTCAGTAGTAGCATTATTTTTTAGAACTATTAGCTGCAGATGAAGTTGAGTGAACAGTATTTAGAAATTACCAAATACAGAGCTTGAAATGTGTTAAGAACTTGGAGAGGATGTTATTTCTAGAAAATAGATTGAGTATAATATATAAAAGGGGAGACTATGTAAGAAAGAGAAAATATTTATCAGCCCATGGAGATGAAAATCATAATTGTAGGTATTATTTAGCCGATAAGAGAAAACCAGGAAAGAACTTTTATTTCACTCTTGATTTCAGGTTTTATGTCGAGAGGCGCTCAAAATTCATCATGATGATCCAAAGGGCCGTTGAGATCCTGAAGACGAAGCCTGGATATTGTGCTCCTTATACCGCTGTCAAGGAAGAGATGGGAATGCCAGAGACCTCTTGCAGAAAGCTCTTTAAGAGTACAGAATTTCAGAGGTATGCAAACGACAGAAGTGTATGCAGGAAAAAATTTTTGTTAGTGTTTTGCTTAATGTTTGATTATACAGATTTATGTGTTTATTTTTTACTTTTTACCTTATTATTTTAAAGTTGGGAATAGTAATTATGATTTTAAGAATTAAACTTTTTGCACAAAGACTAAAGGAACAGTATAAGCAGGTGAAGTCAGGTGGTGCTAGTATTTGACTGCAGTGACCAAGTATTTGTGGAACCATGTCTGTGTAAAAAAAGATCAATAAAACAAAACCATAATGCACAGTTCATATGTACAAGCATCCTGGTATCAGTGGGTTAATTTATAGGTTGATGGAAGACTTCCCTAATTCTCAAAGCACTGTCTTGTCTCCTTTTCCAGATACATTAAGAATGTGACTGCCCCTTATCGCAAGGTGTACCCCGATGCCTCTCCTTCTCAGTGGCGGTGCAAAGGCAAGGATGCTGAAAAGTTTGTACGTATCATGGAGCTGATTAACCCCAAGATCGACCCCATGGAGGTGTGCAAGGCAGAGGAGGTGGTTGAAGACGAAGAGGAAGATGACTCCTATCCAGGCATTCTCGACCAGCATAGGGTGAGTGGTAGTGAAAGGGGAAATGTAGGTGTAGATGGAATGTTTTAGTTTGTAAAATAAAGATTAGTTGTATTTTTTGGTATCTACAGATCAAAATTTTTGCTCTATGAGAACTGAAAACATTTTCCAGTTTCCAGTAGGCATTAGGCATAGTTTGCCTTCTGTTCTAAGTGCACCAAAAAATAGTACATATTTCCTTTAAAGATAGGCGTGCCTGGCCTATGCGCCACACACCCGGGATGTTGGCTCCTTATGTAACCCACTACCCATACTTTCAGCACCATAATTTCCATGATGAAACCGGATCCAGCAGGTTAAGCCTGATTAATTGTAATTGTTACTGCATTGGTAATAGGTTTAACCTGTCTGTCCTGGATATTTTTCTTTTAGAAAACAAAAATGAAATGAGAAGAAATAGTTATTTCAGTTGTTTGGCTTTTAAAGAAAATGAAAAAAAAATATATATATATTACTTATTCTCTGGTTAGTGCTATACTGGAGTAGGATAGGCATGTGTCTGGAATTAGGAAGCTAAGGTAGCCAGCATAAGTGGTCCAATTGGTGAGCTGTGAAGCGTTAACCAGTCAATATTCAGCAGTGAGCCATGAGATATGCCTACTGCCAGCCATTGAGGAGGTTGCTGCTGTGGTGTGGCTCAACCTGGCTAGTATGCAATGTGTTCAGACTGTGGCTAGGGCTGGATAGAATAGTATGATTAGTTGATATTTATTGTGATAGAAAACTGAATTATTCTTTCTTTATTGGAAGGACATGACACAGATTCCTTTATAAGTGAAACTTTGACACAAATTTTAAAACTTTAATATTTCTGCTAATTACTCCTCCCCTACAAAAAGAAAAAAAATATTTCTATTTCAGGGACCAAAACCAATGAATCAGATTGAACCTTCTCCACAATCCTATCCTTTTTCTCAATCCTATTCTTTTTCTCATGTGTACCCCAAAGGTAATCCCCCCATTCACAAACCCTACCTTAGAGGCAAACTTTCCACTTTCCATATTTAATGCCAGACATCCCGTCTCCTCTCCCTTAGGTGGTTTGGGGCATCGGTCTTCTCCAGCAGGCCTACAAGGTTGTGGAAGAGGCGGGACCGGAAGGCGTGTCGCAGTCGGACATGGCCCGCCTCTTGGGACAAACAAAGCTAGACTCACGTACTATCTGCCGCAACCTCCAACGCAGGAACACAGTGCATTCACTCATGAAGGATGTGGGGAGGCAGCGCGTATCACGGTACGTGTCGCACAAATATGCGCGTACAGGACACCTCACGCAGGAGTTCCGCAAGGAGAGGCAGAGAATGATGGCCATGATGGAGGCTAATAAGGCAGAAGTGTGTGGGCCGTCTACATCAAAGGAGGTTAGTAACAATGGGATTGTCTGTCTATCTCTTGTCTGTCTGTCTGTCTATGTCTGTGTCTGTCTGTCTGTCTGTCTCTGTGTTTGTCTGTCTCTCTGTTTCTCTGTCTGTCTGTCTCTCTGTGTCTCTCTCTCTCTCTCTCTCTCTCTCTCTCTCTCTCTCTCTCTCTCTCTCTCTCTCTCTCTCTCTCTCTCTCTCTCTCTCTCTCTCTCTCCATCTCTCCATTTAGAAAATCTCTCTTCATCTACAAATTTCTCCAAATCCACCACACATATCAAACCTGTCTCTTCCTTTGTGACCAGGGCGAGGTGTCCCGCGTCTTGGAGTCGAATTCCCTAGAAGGAGTAGAAGTCGGGCTGGAGATGCTCACGGGGGGCAGGGTCAACATCCCCAAATCGAAGAGGTTGAACGCAGATTCGTCCAACCTCACCAAGGAAGCGGACCAGAGCCAGAAGAAGCGCCAGAGCATTGACGACGATGGAGACAGCAAGAATAAAGGGTGAGGTTTTGAGGTTTAGAAGTCATATATATATATATATATATATATATATAATATATATATATATATATATATATATATATATATAATATATATATATATATATATTATATATTATTATTATGTATTATGTATTATGTATTATGTATTATATATTATATTATATATTATATATTATATATTATATATTATATATATATATTATTATATATATATATATTATATATTATATATTATATATTATACATTATACATTATACATTATATATATATATTATATATTATATATTATATATTATATATATATTATATATTATATATATATATATATATATATATATATATATATATATATATATATATATATATATATATATATATATATATATATATATATATATATATATATATATATATATATATATATATGTATATATATACATATATATATATATATATATATAATATATATATATATATATATATATATATATATATATATATATATATATATATATATATATATATATATATATTTACATATATAATATATATATATTATATTTTTTTTTAATTATTTTATATTTTTTCTTCTTCTTCTTCATATTCTTCTTCTTCTTCTTCTTCTAAAAGCTTCTAAGTAGCCATATTGTTTTGAAAAATACGAGAATCTGATTGTGGCAATATTTACAGTGGTCTCTGTTCTGGTCTTATTTTTAGATTAAAAGAAAAAATTATTATTTTTTTTTTTTTTATTGCAAAAAATTGAAGCAGCGAATCTGAGAAGCAACAGATAAAATTGGTGTGGCTGTAGATGGAACCAAATTATAGTTCTTTGTTATTATTTTTTTTTTTTCTTACACAAAGAATACATACTTTTTTCTGTCAAGTTCAAATATGGAATGCAGTTAGTAAGAAAAAGTCTGTACACCTTGTTTTTAGTGAATATTGGGGATTTTCTTTTTTTTTTTCTAGATCCACACATTTGATTCCTAGTCCCTCTCCAGATTGGCTGGTTAACTGTCCACTGAATTTTTTTTTCTCACCTTTCATTCTCCTCAGTCTTTATGATCTTCAATTCTCTACTCCATTTATCTCATTCCATCATCTTCACCTCCTTCCCTCATAACTCCACCCATTACACTCCCGCAGCTTTGTCCGAATGCTGGAAGAGATCCGGCTGACGTACAACAACCAGCGGAGGAACTCACCCCATGTCACAACGCGCATGATGAAGAGAGCCAACATGATTATTGAAACTGTCGGCTCGATCAAAGTCATCGACGACGCTTTCAAGTTGCAGAAGATGATTGTGCAGGTTGGTGGGAGTGGTCGTAAATACTTTATTATGGAAAGGATAGATAATTTTCATAGTTATCTCAATGGATCTTTTTATAGTAAAAGGAAAATGCAGTGGTACAATTTGATATATTCTGTTAACATTATTATGTGTTTGATGCTGAAAAAAATTGAAGTTTGATGTAAATGTGTTAAGTTTAATGCTATAAATATGTATTATTTAATAAGTATATAATGTTTATTACTGTGGTAATTGAAATATATTGACAATATTTAGAAACTTTCATATTTTGAATTCATAATATCTAGTATTGCAAACACTAGAGTCCAGAAGTTGCAAATCTATAAAACACAGTAGTCCAGAAGTTGCAAATTTGTTATATATTTATTCATTTCTCAGGCGGAATCTGAAGAAGGGTATGCTGTCAAGATGGACAAAAAGAGTCTGAACCGCCTGCTGGACAAGCTCTCCAAGGGCGGCTTTGTCAAAAACATCATCGTCAAGCTCAAGTGCAACACCATGGTAAAAGTGGTCCAGTTTGTGGTCCATCCTAGCATCACGTTTGGTGAGTGTCTTTATTATGATGTGGACAGAGTAAAGGGGTGATTAATATTTGATTGTACCTTTTATACTTTTTAAATAATTTTGATTGTACCAAACAAATTTATCCATTTGATTTAAGCGTCAGAGCACAGCCCCAATACAGTGTCACACTGGCGGGACGCCCGGCAAAATATCCTATTATAGTGAGCAAAACTAATCTATTCGATTGGACTAAAGCAATCTCTTCAGAGCACAGCCCCAATACAGTGTCACACTGGCGGGACGCCCGGCAATGTTTATTTTTTCCGGTGTCTCATATAAGTGACACCCGGAACGAATGGGTTAATTTTGACCAAATTAATGTATCTACTTTTACCAAACCAATCCACTTAATTTAACCAAACTAGTATTTTTGATTGATAAGTCAAACATGCAATCTCTGTAGACCATTTAAGTCCACTAACCTCAACTATTCCCCCATCCAGAGAGCCCACACCTCAAGTCAGCCATCGAGCAGCAGAAGCTCAAGTTCCTGGCCTCGGCACCCGACACCAAGCGGGAGGCAGAGGGAGGAGGAGCAGGAGGAGGAGGAGGGGGAGGAAGCGGCAGCACGAAGGGAGGAGCAGCAGCAGGTCCAGAAAGCGCCAAAGTCAAAGTCAAAAGCGAGAGCTCTGCGGCCAAGATGGTAAAGAAGGCCATGAGTGAGGAGAATGACCGCATGAACAAGAGCTCAGTTGGGGCCAGCATGCAAGAGCTCAAGCAGATGCACCAGGTGTCGACCACGACAGTTGCTACACCTGAAGCCGAAGCAGGCGTTGCTCCAGCTGTGGTGAAGAAGGTTAGGAAAACAAGCAAAATAACTGATGATTAATTATGGATGTATTGTTTGGGTTGTGTTATAAAGATTTTAATTTTTTTTCTAAGTTACAAATAATGTGCATTTGAAGTTTGAAGTGTTTGAATTGTATAATGGGAGCAAATTTTATTATTTTTGAAAGTCGGTGTGTTGAATATCATTTTCAAGGATAGTTGAATTTATAACATAGCTTGTTAATTTCATCATCAGAAAAATAAAGGAAAGGGTTACTTGATCTTTCTTTGTGAATATGAAAATCAGTATCTTGATAACAGAAATTCCCTAAACATCAACCAAACATGCTTAATGTGTGTACTAGACATCCCTTCAGTCTTATCAGTCCTTACCCACTAAAGCAAAGAGTAAATAACAGGACAACCTTACACGACCCAGTATCCTAACACTTCCCTCCCATCCCCATAGGAGGCCGGCGTGAAGGGGAGCCTGGGACCAAAGTTCGTCCGCATGTGCGAGCTCCACAAGCTGCTCTTCTACCTTGTCTATGGTTACTCTGGAAAAGAGGACATGGATCAAGTGGAAGCCTGGCAGACTATAGCCTCTTCGTCGCCTGAGGCCCAGATCCACGCCGAGGACCTGTCCACTTATCCGATGGTCTACTATGCTGAACTCTCATGGAAGTAGGTTTTCAAGCATAATGGGGTTCTCTCTTTTTTTTTTTTTTTTTTTTTTTTTTATTCTTTCCCTTCATCCTTTTCTTCTTCTTCCTCTTCTTCTTCTTTGTCTTTTCTCTTCTTCTCTTCTTCCTCTTCTTTTCTCTTCTTTTCCTTTCTTCTTCTTCCCCTTTCCCTTCTTCTTTCTTCTTTTTAATACCCAATAGGCCTAGTTTTTTTATAGTACAGCAAGATTGTTTTAAGTATAAGTCTTGGGTATGAAGATCAGAAGAAAAATAAAACGAAAACCTTCTATCACTCACATATATTCTGAAATTCATTCAGATGATATGGTGGTGGACAAAGATAATTGATATATGTATAGTGTGCTATGTTAAAAGGAATGTTTATTTCACATATATAAAATAGTGTCGGGCTGCCCGCCAGTGCGATGCTGTCTCGGAGCCGTGCTCCGCGCAAAAGCGGCGGGCCCCGGGCGGGCGGACAGACTCCGGGGAAGCTCCGCCCGCCGATTTTGTAGCTGCCCGGATTTTTTTAATTTTGGCTACAAAATGTACCCCGGCACGGGTGGGTTAAATATGTATAGTTTGGTGTGCCATGTTATAAAGAATGTTAAATGTATTCTTTAAGCAAACTCAGCAAAAGGTTCAAAGAGAAAAAATTGTCAGTAATGGGATTATAATGTTTATAAATTTTCTCCTAAGTTCATTGTGATATATATTTACAATCACACATGTAGAGATGCAGATATTATTGAATGTTATGTCTTCCAGAATGTTCATCCCACCATTGCCAAATCACATGAACTCGGAGAGTGGCTGGGCCTTTGTGTGCGACGTGCTGCTGCGGTTGCCCCTTTGCATCTTTGTCCGGCTGGTCAGTATCTGCCATTACTCGAGTGAGATCGATGCCTTCATGAACCACCCCATCAAGAGAAACCTGCTGGTGAAATACCTCCCACCGCACCTCCGCCAGGCCCTGCTACAGGGAAGGCGTTACGTTACTTACGTGATTGACCTGATCAATCGCTTGTGTTATGTGGGTGGGTAGGACGTACAAGTTGACCTTTTTAGTGTCAGTATATTTTTTCCAGGTGAAGCATGATGAAAATGTTTTGATTAACAAAAAGCAAGTGCTCTATTAAGGCATGATGAATATAGATATTATATTCTCTAAACATCCATTTCCTACATATATCATCTTTAATTTATTCTTGATCTTCAAATCTCATTACCCAGAGATATATGTGTACATATACTGTAACGATAATCTCTGTACAAGTACCTAGTCAAAATACCCTGAAATATGTCTACAGATACTTCATTAAATCTCTGTACAAGTACCTAGTCAAAATACCCTTACTCACTTCACATTCACTCTCTCAAGGCCTGCTCCAGTATGGCCACCAGATTATGAAGGAAAAGGACCAGGTGTTCATCTACGTCAACCGGCATGCCAGCCTCATCGACACAACCACTTCGGGTCCCGGATACCACCAGATCTCAGCTGACAAGGAATATGTCCGGAAAGAATACTTCTTCTCTTGCTTACAGGATGTGCTTCAGTACTGGTGAGTGTGTAGGTGTTTAGGCTATGTATTTTTATTGTTGTTGATTTTGTTGTTGTAGTTGTTAGTTCATGTGTTTTCTTAATTTGTCTTTTTCTTTCTTTCTTTTGTTTGGATTTGTTTGTCAGTAAATTTTTCTGTCTATAATAGTTAATGATTAGATACCAAAAGGATCATACATATGGTAATAGTAGATATTTATAGACCTCATTAAAACTATGTTATCATTCCAGGTATGACATGTGGACCATCTCAATGCACACACCTCTTGGTGGCCACAACTGCATGCAAGGGAAGAAAATTACAATACAGATTTTGGACCGCAAACCTCAGATCATTGAGTCACTCACTCCACGCAGTACAGAAGAGGCTCCAGCAAGGTACCCAGTGCCTTTGCTTGTTTATTCTCTTTCTAATCTTGTGTCTTTACTTCATTTCTATTCAATTCAATTCTTTATTCTCTTTCTTTTGTTTCTCTTCTCTTCCCTCCTCTTTCATTCTTCTCTCTTCTCCTCTCTCTTTTGTTTTCTTCTCTTCTCTCCTCCTGAGACCCAGAATTAAGTAATTTTGCCCAGGGATCCCAACCATCATTTAATCATTGTGATGGAAATATTTAACATTAGTAGTCATTGCAATGAATGGTCATCTGACAAAAAAAAAAAAGTTCACTTAAGAAATATTACCATGGAGAGACATTACCATAAAATGTTACAGAATATATTTTGTAATATGCTCCCTTCTCTGACAGAGACAACGGTAGCATCCCAGGTGATGGACGAGGGGCAGGAGGACTCGATTCGGCCATGTTTGCCCATCTGAAGCGCAACTGGTCCTCGAACTCAGGTCACTCAGCTTCGGCAAGACCCTCAGCACTTCTGCCTCCCAACACTGAGGGTGGGGAGAGGGCCACCTATGAAGGGACAATCTCGTACACGCAGTACTTGATGAACACCACGAAGATATGAGAGTGGGTGAGAGGGGATTTTGGGTGGATTGAGAGTGGGTGAAGGGAAGAGAGAGAGGGGGAGAGGAAAAGAAATATGGGAATAAAGTGTGGTAGAGAGAAATAGAGGAAAAATATCATGGCAGATATGATACTTGTGAAGAGCATCAAATAGGGAAGATTTTTTTTTTCATTTATTTAATTGGATGCACTATGTGTAATGGATCAGGGTAAAATATATAAGTATCATCCTCCATCACTGTTTGCATGTCCAGTGTATGATAAGCAGAGGAAACCTGGTGCCACAAAGATTCATTGGATTTCAGGCTGACATCCACGAAAATTTTGTCTCTGAACTTACAATTCAAACTGTTTGTCACAATTGACCAACTACAGAAGAGGCTTTACATCACATTTCTTGATTTAAAGCACAGTTCTGCATAAGCTGATGGGGTGAATGTCAGAAAATACTGTAATAAAAAATGTATATATACTAGTAATCATATGAAAAACAGAAAAAATGTAATGCATACATGTACATGAATAGAATAGAACATGAATACAAGATTGGAATAGAACACTATTTCACATAAATTGAATTGCATGTTAGAAAAATGCCTCCCCAGACATAACCATCATTTTCCTCACTTTCTATAGCCTCGCATGGGGACTGATGGCAAGACCCTGGAGATCCCTGTGGGTATGGTTCCTCGTGCTCCACGGGGACGCAAACGCAAGAGAGACGGCGTATCAACACCGGAGACTGAGACTCCTCCTGTCAAGTAAGTTCTTTTTTGTTATTGGAGACATGTCAGCTTTTTATGGGGCGGGTAATTCAAAATTTTGGGAAGTTAATTTTACAGCTTTATTGATTTTTATATTTCTTTTGATTTGTTACTATTCCACATGTGAACATATCTGTGTAGCAAAAGAAATATTATAAAGTATTAATTTCCTTTATTATTTCTGTAATTTCCATTTTTATGTAAGTATAGATGTATATACATTAACCCATTCGTCCCGGGTGTCACATACAAGGAAAAAATAAACATATTAATTTTGGCTACAAAATGTACCCCGGCGCGAGTGGGTTAATATGTTCATTTGTGTAACACTGAAATCATATCTAGAATATGAAACTCAAACATATTAAACAACACACTGGACATGTGTTGTTAATTTACAATTTTAACCTTTACTTTTTAAAAAACAAGCCATAAAAAATTGATGTTTGTTAAAAATCTTGAAAAATTTTATACCATAAGAAAATAGGCTTTGTAAAAAATATGTATATTTTTTATTCCCTTCTTATTATCGCATCATTTATCTCTCCTATTTTCTTGCAGATTGAAGCGAAGCGGACGGCAGGGCAAGAGCAACAGGCCAGCCAGTTATCAACGGGAACTCAAAATGCGCAAAAAGTCCCCCAAGAAACCTTACTATGACGAAGAAGATCGTGCAGCCCTCCGAAGGATGAATAAACTGTGAGTCAGTTTATAAAGTCTTTATTTGGAGGCAAGAGAAAGGGGAGTTTCACTTAAAATCTATAAAAGTGATAACAAAGATCAGGAAGAAATTAGTCTTAAGAACATTGCTAATATTGTTATTTGTCTATGTCTATCACTTTGTCTATTTCTCCCTCCCATCTTTCCTCTCTTCCTCCCATCCCTCCTCTCTCCCTTCCTTATCTCTCTCTTAACCTTTCTCCTTATCCTAATACCCCCCTTTTCCCCACACTCTCCCTTTTCCATCCAACTTTCCCCTCATCCCCCCCACTCCCCCTTCTTCATCCACCTCTCCCCTCATCCCCCCTACTCCCCCTTCTCTATCCACCTCTCCCCACATACCCCTTTGCTTCCCACACTTACTCAATCACCATCCTAATTCTTTCTCCCATCCTGGCCCCAGACGAGTCGACTGGTCCTCCGCCGAAGACTCGTTCCTCCTGTTGTGCAAGGTGGCCTCTTGTTTCCTCTTCCCAAACATCCGAAGCCAGATGATCACCTTCAGTCTTGTAAGAGATATGCTCCACGAACGGTTTCCGGAGTCTTTGAACAAGACATCGCGTGCCTGCCAAAGGAGGATCAACTACATCATGAAGAATCCAACGACAGAGGATAACGTGGCCATCTTCCTAGAGGAGGTGCGCCAGGATCCCGGCATTGTGGCGGATTTTAAGGTGGGTTGGATTATTATTTTTTTATTTATTTATTTATTTTTTCCCCCTTTTTACTTTTTCTTTAGTCTCTCCTTACTTTCGATTGTTATTGTTACTACAGTTTTTCTTGGTGCTATATTAACTCATGTATTTGACTTGTGGTGAAACATTATAAAAAAAAAGTAAATAAGAGAGTTGAATATTTATATAGTACATATGAATACAATCTCCCTATAGGAATACATATAAATACAATCTCCTCCTTGTAGAGTCCACGGGTGCCCCGCAACAAGAAGAACATCGAGAGTGTGTATGCGACTATGTTCCGTGCCCTCATGCAGCGGCTGGTGGTGAAGTTTGCCTCAAGTGAGTCACGACAGTGTCCTGACCTGCCACCCTCTATTGAAGAGTTCCACCAGCGTTTCCGCATCATCATGGCTTCGTCCTCACTCCGCAACAAACTCAAGTTCCGCCCAGTCGTCAATGTGTCGGATATTGATTTCCATATTGTCAATACACTTATCTATGTAAGTATTGTAGGGGTACTTGTGGGCTTATGTGTGTTTGAGAAAGAGGGATGGGATGGGAGAGGGAAAACAAGTGAGAGTGAGAGAGAGAGAGTGAGAGAGAGAGAGAGAGTGTGAGAGTGAGTGTGAGAGTATGAGTGAGAGTGTGTGTAAGAGAGAGAGAGATAGAGAAAAAAGAGACAGAGAAAAAGCACTTAAATTTTTTTAAATCATAGGCTGTAAACCATATATACATTTTCTGCTAGATATTTTTGTTTGAAGTGTTTTTACTGTTTGTATGCCAACGTAAAGCAAACATATTTACTATGGAAAAAAGAAAAGCATATAATTTTATTGTATAAATCAAACAGCTATTTTATAGGAAAGTTTTTGGATGTAGAAAATACACTTTGAATATATTTTATTGTATAAACCAATCAGCTGTATTATAGGAAAGTTTGTGGACATATATTGTTCACTGGGATTATATTTAAGGCCATTAATAAATCTGTTTTAATATACTATATTTAGATATACTACTATATCTGATATACACTAATTACTTTTTAGGTGATTATTTCTGTGTGTGTTTATGTGATTATAAATACAAAATAGTATGCACTTGAGATAGCCTTGATCAGAAAGCTAAACTATTTGAAAAAAAAAAAAACTAACTGTATATATTTTCCTTTCAAATATCTGCCATTGATATCTGTTCTACCCCCTCAGAGTTCACTTTGCTCCAAGCACGACAGGGAATCATATGCGTATCAGCTGTACCTCGCATACCAGCAGTACCCCCAGGCACTCCTCAATGCAGTTCTAACCCGTATGCGGCAAGACCAGATGATCAGCTACAAGAAATGTTATAATAGGTCACAGGTGGCGCAGACTTGCCTGCCACTATCCACCTCCCCTTTCCAGCTGTCTGTCACATATCATCATGTCTTTAATTTCAAGGTGAGTGCGGTCTGAAGATATACTTGTATCTTGTTTGTTTTCTTGATGTTTCTTGTTGGGTTAGATTAGCTTGGTTTGGTTAATTTGTTTTCTATTATGTATTTTCTCTTGCTCTGTCTCCCATTTTCTTTTTCTGCCCTATTGTTACATTATCTCTTTTCTCATCTGATTTATAATCAGTTGATCTATTAAAGACTCAGTTTCCTGATTAATTTTACAATGACTTTTGACCTGTTACTTAATTCTTCATTTCAGTACCAGTATGAAATCTACAGCCAGGCATGGCAGATGCTGAAACAGCTGATTACAAAGAAGCATAAAGCCATTATTGAGAACGTGAGCTACAAGCAGAGTCTGACAGAGGGCTGTCTCCCTGCAGAGGAGGAGGTTGATGTCACAGGCAACACTGCTGACAAGCCTGCTCTGGATCCTGCTTCTGCTTCACTCAAGGATGAGCAAGTGATCGGCAGCATGGACATTGGCAGTGGATTCCAAGAGGAGGGCGTTCCAGTGGTGATCCTACATGAGGGCGGCTACTGTGCCACCATTGTTGCCCTTCTGGCCACCAAACGAATCATCTTCGACATCATCATCCCTGAGCAGATCATCATGATGGACCAGCAGCAACGCTTAATGGAGGACCAGCACCAATCCCTCTTGCGGCGGTTCTCATCTCATTCACAAATGGCTGGTAAAGAGGTAGGCGACTCCCTGGGGGGCTACGACATGGCACACTCTTACAGCGAGGAGGCCAGAGACGATGTCAAACCTGGAACCAAGGGCACTCATGTTGTCAAGGAGAGACTCAAGGAGGAGGCCAAGTTAAAAGCCTCAGGTGAAGAAAGCACTGTTGCAGCTGCAAAAGCAGAAGGAGGTAAACGAAAAGCACTTTTGAAGGAAGAGGAACCTGTAAAAAAGGCAAGACACGAAGAAGGGGGCAATGAAGAGGAAGGGACAATGACACCATCATCACCATTGCTTGATCAGACAAATGAAGACAGTGCAACAGTAGCTGTCATGGAGGAACAACTGGCCCAGCCAGATACTACTGAGGAGAATGCCAAGACACCCAAGGACACCACAGGAACTGCAGAAGAGATGGAAAATGAAGCTGTGGAGAAACCATCTTTGGAAGATACGGGAAATGAAGCTGTGGCAGAACCATCAGTGGAAGAGATGGGAAATGAAGCTGTGGAGGAACCATCTGCAGAAGAGATGGGAAATGAAGCTGTGGAGGAACCATCTGCAGAAGAGATGGGAAATGAAGCTGTGGAGGAACCATCTGCAGAAGAGATGGGAAATAGAACTGTGGAGGAACCAGAGAACCCATTGCAAGGGACAGAGGACAGCAACCCTTTAGGGGATGCATCATCACTTGAAGGCGATGATGTTGATATCACCAGCACATCTGTAAGGCTTACTGTTATTGTTTTGCACTAGTCTAATATTGTTTTTTTTTATGTTATCAAAGTGGTCATGATAAAATCTTGAATATCGTAAACTAAATTCAATTTACAAGTGAACCATATTTTTTTCTGTACTCTTAGTCTTATCAGAATTTACCCAGAATTAGGTTGATTTAATCCCATCAAGAGGAAAGGTAGCCAAGCCATCAGAGAAATCTGCCAAGCTTTTCCCAGATAATCTATTGTTAACCATTCGCTCTACTTCCCAATCTATTTCCCTCCATCAGCAAAATAAAAGCCAGTCCTCGGCCTCCCGTCTGGGCCTGTACATGATGCGAGACCAGCTGACCCTGGCAGAGGTGGACCAGATCAACATCCAGCACGCCCAGGAGCACCTCGTGGTCAACGCCTGCGACATCACCATCCGCCTCCGAGCACCACCGGACCTGCAGGAGGAGGTGGATGAGGCCATTGCGAGGGATGACCTTGAGGCTGTGGATAACCTCCTGCTCCCCCTCCCCAAGAGTGTGGTTGCAGAGGCTTTGGAGAAAAGGAGGAGGTGAGTAAGGGGTGGCCTCTCTGGCTCTCTTGTTCTGTGCCTCTGTGTCTCTGGTTTCTTTTCTCTTTCTCTCTAGTTCTGTGTTTCTTTTTTTTCATTCTCTTTTGCTAGATCTCTCTGATTTTCTCAGGCTTACTTATGTTGTCTTGTTCCCTCTCTTTCTCAGCCTGTGTCTGTCAGTATTCTCCCTTTCTCACCCTCTGCTTCTCCTCTCCATTCATATTGATCTCCCTCTCTACCTTTCTATGCCTTTCCCCCTTTCCATCCCTCTTTCTATCCTTCTCCCAATTTTTAATTCCTCTTCCATTTTATTTCTATCTCTCTCTTTCTCTCTCTCTCTCTCTTCCTGTATAGTCCTAACCACACTTCACCTCCCCGGCCCCCACAGGGTAACGCTGGAGATATGGAACCCGTTGGAGGACGTCGCGAACAAGTGGCGAGAGGAGGGTGAGGCAGAGGAATTCGTGGATTCCGTAAAGGAGGTGTTTGAGTACATCCACTCGCGCAGGGAGGTCGGGGCATCTATCTGCGAGCTCAAGGTATGTACGGTGTATAATGGATATGTGTGTACATGTGGCCTAAATGTATTTTATTGCGTATTGTTACATGAAGAGCTGGAGGATATGTGTGTATTTGTGTTTCTGATTGTTTGTATGCTTGTGCATTTGTGTTAGTGTTATCTGAGCAGTCTAGTATATTTAAAGAGTGTACAGTACACAGAAGTATATACAGACATCCCACACTATTAGCTTAATTTATGCACTACAAAAATCAATCAATAGTATACTGACATCATTATAACATGGGTTGTATGGGCATATGTTTCTACCTTCTCAAAGCTAATAAAAGAATTAACCACAAAAGAAAACCTCTTTTGAGTTGATAGTCCTTATTTGCAAGAATTATTTAAGCATAAAAAGATTATTTAAAGAAAAGGAATGTGATGAAATGGAAATGGGGGGGGGGGGATGGACAGAAACAAAAGAAAACAGATCATATATAGATTTTTGAAAAACAGAGGATCATATAATCCATCAGACAACATTTAATGGATTGAAGGGATGTCCGTATATGCATTTTGTATATGAACACTGTGCACTCTCACACATACATACTGTACAGCATAATATAGTATTGTATTTAATAACTTGCCTGGACACAAATACAGACAAATAGGAATCTAATCACTAGGATTGTATTTTGTTTTTTATTTGTAGAAATAATTATCAAGTGGTTTATATTCTTATTTTGATCTTATTATTGTTTATTATCATTATTGTTATTGTTATTATTGTTATTTTTATCATCATTTTTTTTTTTTTTTTTTTTTTTTTTTTTTTTTGATAGTCTTACTGCCTTAAATTACAACCATTGATATCATTATCATTACAAATATTCATATGACCTTGATTTTATAATCAGTATAATCACTCATCATCAATTCCATTCACCTAATAACTGTTGATATTACAGCATCGTCCATTCACCTTTTTCACACCCACTTCTTCATCTATATCCTGTACAATTTCTTTCAACGCCCACCCTTTCCGCAGGAGAGGTATAACCAGCACTGCCCCTGGCCGGTCAGCTACATCCTCTACCGCATGGAGGAGGCCAGGCTGGTGCTGCGGGTGGGCGTGGCGCTGGTTCGGTGGGTCACCATGGCGTACACTAAGCCCTGGCTCATCCACACCAATAAGATTACAAGGTGGGTTGTGCATTATATTTTATTGGTTTTTGTATTGTGGTTTAGGTATTATTGTTTTTGGTGTGGTAGTGGTAGAAGTAGTAGTAGTAGTAGTAGTAGTAGTAGTAGTAGTAGTAGTAGTAGTAGTAGTAGTAGTAGTAATAGAAGTAATTGTAGTTGTAGTAGTAGTAGAAGTAGTAGTAGTAGTAGAAGTAGTAGTTAGTAGTAGTAGTAGTAGTAGTAGTAGTAGTAGTAGTAGTAGTAGTAGTAGTAGTAGTAGTAGTAGTAGTAGTAGTAGTAGAAGTAATTGTAGTTGTAGAAGTAGTTATAGTAGAAGTAGTAGTATTAGTAGAAGTAATTGTAGTTGTAGTAGTAGTTATAGTATAAGTAGTAGTAGTAGTAGTAGTAGTAGTAGAAGTAATTGTAGTTGTAGAAGTAGTTATAGTAGAAGTAGTAGTATTAGTAGAAGTAATTGTAGTTGTAGTAGTAGTTATAGTATAAGTAGTAGTAGTAGTAGTAGTAGAAGTAATTGTAGTTGTAGCAGTAGTAGTAGTAGAAGTAATTGTAGTTGTAGTAGTAGTTATAGTAGAAGTAGTAGTAATAGTAGTAGAAGTAATTGTAGTTGTAGTAGTAGTTATAGTATAAGTAGTAGTAGTAGAAGTTCATTTACACCAGAAAGATTACAAGGTTTGTCTTTCCATTGATCTACATTTGTTTATATCTCCATATATGTATGCTTTTCCAATTGCTTCTCTATCATTTTATTTGTTTGTCAATCAATGTGTCTGTCTGTTTATATCTATCTATCTATGTGACTTTCTCTCTATCCATCAATCTATTATTCCCTCATTCCCTCCTTTCCTTTCATTTATTCATCTGTCTACCCATCCTTCCTTCCTTCCTTCTACCTTATCTACTAATCCATCTATCCATCCATCCACCTATTTCCTCATCCACTTCCACTCACCCACTCACCCATCCACCTACCCATCCACCCATCCGCCTATTTGACTATCCATCCTCCAGTCTCCTTACCCCATAATGATGACTCCCCCTTTCGCGCCTTCAGAGGAAATCGACAGAGCGTGAAACTCCAAGGCGTGTACAAGATGAACCTGAACAACCCGGAAAAGGAGGTGGAAACGGGCAAGAATAATGAGGATGAAGGGAAAGTGGACGAAGTGGAGAATGGGGAGCAGAGCGGAGAAGTTATGGTACGGATTGATTTAAATATTTTGTTTTTCATTTTGTTTGTGTGTTTCTTTATTGGTGTTGGGGTGGGGATGGGGGTTGGATGTGTGTGTGTGTGTGTTTATGTGAGAGTGAGTGGGTGTGCTTGTGTGTGTAAATATTGTATTGATTTAAATTACCTTATATAAATTCTCTCCCAACTCTATTGTGTACAGTAACCACACCACCCTTCTCTCATTCTCAAACAGGAGGTACAGAACGAAAGCAACGCGCCAGTGGAAGACATAACAACGGAAAACATGGCAACAGATGGTGTAGTAACAGAAGACGCAGCAACAGCAGACATAGCAACAGAAGAGGCAGCAACAGCAGACATAGCAACAGAAGAGGCAACAATAGCAGATGCAGCAACAGCAGATGCAGCAACAGAAGAAGCAGCAATAGAAGACGTGATAACGGAAGATGTAACAGCGGAAGACATGGCAGAGTTAGACATAACGGAAGATGTAACATTAGACACAACAGAAGGCGTGACAACAGAAGGAGACTCAGAGATGACTGTAGATCAAACCACGCATACGTCATCATATCTTCCAGGGGGCTTAGGAGAACCTTCATTTGATCTGCAAGGTGATTTTTGAATTTAGAAAGCATTTTGTGTTTATAGTAATGGGTGAATTCTTGTAGATTTTTTTTTTTCTCTCTCTTTCTTTCTTTTTTTCCACTTGTCTCTTTTCTTTTTGGTAGATATTGCTGAACTTTTTAGAAGTAGTTCTATTTGTATTTTTCAACTTTCATTCATTGTACTGAAAAGACAAGAAATAGACCAACACTCCCTTTGTCATAATTTTCTACAGTTACAGCTTTTATTTTCTACTTGTATCAGCACCTATGATCGCTTGTTTCTACCGCTTATTCTCTTATTTTCACCCACAATCACAGTTTCTTTTAATCTCTCTTCTCCCATTCCCCCGCTTCCGATTTCTTACCCTTTTTTTCTTGTCTATGATCATACATTCACTTTATCTGTCTTTTGCACCATCAGCACCTCTTATCCTCTTATTCTCACCTACGATCACCTGTTCTTTTACTTTCTTTTTTCTCCCATTCCCTCATTTGCTACTTCAGTCCCCTTTCTTCTTATGTAATGTCGTTTTTCCTCACCAGATGGCACTACGATCGACTCCTCAGCCCTCGAGAACGAAAATGGAGAAACCTTTGAAGACGTCAGTGGCAGTGCTATCTCAGAGAAGCTTTCGATGTCAATGACAGCGATAGAGACAACAGCAGCAGCAGCAATTACAGAAACAACAACAGCAGCAGCAATTACAGAAACAACAACAGCAGCAGCAATTACAGAAACAACAACAGCAGCAGCAGTTGCAGAAACAAGTACTAATGTCAACGACGACGAGGCAACTAAGAACGAGGCTAAGGCTGCAAGGCGGTCGCAGAGGATTTCTGTCAAGAATGAGGGTAAATTTTGGGGGGGTTATTATTATTATTTACTATTATTATTATTTATTTATTTTATCACGGAGAAGAGGAGCCAGGTATATGCCTTTGTAGGGTCTCAAGACACGAACTGAAATGAAAATTGGTGGGGCGAAGGGTTTTGAGTTTGGCACCCATGTTCTAGATCTTTGGTGTTCTGTAGTAGATCAAAATACAGCAATATTCTGTTAAAAATGTTTGTATTTAGATTTATTTATTTATGGAGGCAAAGCTGCACTTCATGGTTACTCAGACATGCTACATTCAGCTAGTTATTGCCTTCCAGTCAAGTGCATATTTGTCTTTATGCATGAAAGGAAGGGAATTAAATGAAAATTAAACTTTTTTTCTTCTTTCTTTTCCCTTCCCCTCTGCCCTTATCTACTCGCTCTTTCCTTCCCTCTTTCTCCCTTCACCAATATGACCCCCCCTGCCTCAACCTTCCTACCCCCTTTGCCATCTCTCCTCCTTTTCACTTTTATATTCTCTTCTCACCCCTCGCCTCCACCCTTTTACACCCTTCTCTATGTCCTCACCCTCATTGCAACCCAAATCAATGCCTCCTCTCCTCCCTCCCCCCTTTCACCCTTATCAATCCCACTCACCCTTCCCTCCATCCTTCTCCCTTCCCCTTCCCCTTTTCTTCCCTCCCTTTCCCTTCCCCATCACACCTTTCCCTTCCCTCCCCTTCCACCCCTTTTTCTCCTCCCTCCTTCCCTCCCCCCCCCTCCCCCTCCCCTCTCACCCTTCCCTTCCCTTCCTCCACCCCCTCAGCCGGAAACCAAGAAGCCCCGGAGGAAAGCAGCGGGACGTCGGTGCGCCACATCCACTCCTGCCTGGCCATGAGGAAGCGGAAGTACAGGAAGGACGAGGAGGCTTCCAAGGAGATGGAGAGGACGATCAAGCAGCACCATGATACGTAAGTTTTTTTTTATTTTTGTTTTTGGGGCGGGGGAGGTTTCTTGGGGGGTAGGGGTGGTGGTTGTGTGATTGTATGTTTTTGTGTGTGTTGTGGGAGGAAGTTTTTTTTTTTTTTTTTGTTGGTAGGTTTGTGGAGAAAGTTTGTCTATTTTTCCTTTGGCGTCTACCGTCTCTTCCTCCCTTTTCTCCCTCCCACTTTCGGTTCCTTTTTCATATTCTTCCTTCTCCCTTCCTCCAATTTCTTCCTCTAACCTTCTCTCCCTTTTCATCTCCTTACCCATTCATCTCTTCTTTGACCCCGCCTCAGCACCCCTCCCTCACTGACCCCGCCCCCTTCCTCCCTCCCTGCAGGTCCGACTACGAGCAGATCAGCGTGGCGGTGCGCCCGTGGGTCCGGCTGAACGGCACGCTGAACCGGCGGGTGCTGGACCGCCTGCTGGGGGCCGTGCTCAACCTGGTGATGGAGCGGCCGGGGATCAGCGCCAGGGACATCGTGTGCCGTTTCTCGCCCGCCCTCCAGCCCGCCCACACCCACGACCTGCTCGACACGCTGGTGCAGATCCGCTGCGTCGCGCCCATGCAGCTGCACCGCTCGCACAGGCCCTCGCTCTTCAGTGACACCGTCGAGTACACGCTCGGTGAGGATTGATTTTTTTTTATTCAATGGGGGGTGGGGAGGGAGGGGATTTTTTGGTGGAGAGGAGGAAGGAAGGAGGAGGGAGAGGAGGGAAGGAAGGAGGAGGGGAGAGGAGGGAAGGAAGGAGGAGGGGAGAGGAGGAAGGAAGGAGGAGGGGGAGGAGGGAAGGAAGGAGGAGGGGAGGAGGGAAGAAGGAGGAGAGAGGAGGGAGAGGAGGAAGGAGGAGGAGGGAAGAGGAGGGAGGAAGGGAGGAGGAAGGAAGGAGAGGGAAGGAAGGGAGGAAGGAGGAGGAGGGAAGGAAGGAGGAGGAGGGGAGAGGAGGGGAGGAAGGAGGAGGGGAGAGGAGGGAAAGGGAAGGATAGTTGTAGGAAAGGGGGGGATGGATAGTTGTAGGAAAGGGGAGGGGGATGGATAGTTATAGGATGGGGGGAAGGAGGGAGAGAGAGGAAAGGTTAGCTGTAGGGGAGAGGAGAGAGAGAGAGGGAAAGGAGGGAAGGGATGTTAGCTTGGGGAATTGGGGTTATTTGTAGCTTTGAGGTTCTAGGGGTTGAGAAGTAGGTTTGGAGGGGGTTGACAATTATGAAAAAAAAAAGTCTACATCCTTTCCCACCTAAACCAATTTTGTTAGCTTTATCCACTTATAGAAAGCCAAGAAGAAAAGTTAGATACAGTAAACAAAAATTAAATAAAAATCATCACGATTACTAATCATCCTCCTCCACTTAAATGATCACTCTAATCCCTAATCCGCCTTCCCTGAAAAATGATCACGATTACTAATCATCCTCCTCCACTTAAATGATCACTCTAATCCCTAATTCTCCTCCTCCACTCTTCCAGAACCGGCGGACCTGCACGACTGCGAGGACGAAATCCTGTACGAGCCGATGGTCGACGCCATCTTGAAACTGGCCATGTTCATCGGCGACAAGAAATATTCTCAGGATTTTCTCTCCGGGGATCGCAGATGATCTTCCTTTTTGCTTTTTGTTGTTAGATTATTTTATTTATTTATTATTTTGTTGGGGCATTTTTGTTATATGTGCTACATTGCATAATTAATACTATTATGTATGTATATTGTAATTAGTCATACTTTTTCGAAGTTTTTTTTTTTTCAAAATGTTTAATAGGGATTGTATATTAATTTCTGTATATATTTCATATCCTCTCGATTATGAGCATTGGAAATATTTTTTGTTGTATGTGATTGTATATATAAGGAAAAACCTACTGTAAATATAATTTTTCTGACTTTTTGTCTTCAGTGTAAGTTTCTATTATTATAGAGCACTATTTTTCATTGAATCCTTATGGCAAAACTGTAAAAAATAAGTTGTGCATTTTTAAAGAGAATAAAATTGTAAATATTGGGAATTTTTGGTTGATTAATCCTCAATATATATGAATGGTTAATGGTTAATGGTTAAAATAAATGTGCTAGACATCTAAGGTCATATAGCACTATAGGAAAATATAGTAAAGGGGGATATCAGGCGATAAATATATATGAAAATTACTTTCTCTCAAATACATTTAGAGTTAAGGTTGCAGCGAAATTCCTCTGGATTCCCGAATCTATTTTCACACCTTCAGGATTCTGCACATAAAAGCATAAAATATATATAAAAAGGTAGCTCCACTTTAAACGCGTTTATTTTCAACACAAACAATGAATCGAATATTGTCACAGAATCACTTGCACAGGTCCATCGACTTCGGGGGGGGGGGGTCAGGGTGAACAGAATAAAGGGATAAAACAGAATGGAACTTCACACCCCTTCTCATGAGAGGTACTGGCTGTTAATTTGTTTGCATAACCTTGTTTCAACTAGTTTTCTAACAGCAAACCTGAAAGAAAACAAGAGTATTGTTCCTTGCGAGGTGCTTTTTAAGAACATTTCTAAACAAAAGGAAGTGTATTTCATTTACACTCATTCACTTATACTGTAACGGCGAATATGTCACTGTCCTGATGACATATTTGCGGTCCTACTACTCTGGGAAGTCCATTGCATCTGGACCAGCCACAGATACTTTTCGCAGGTTTGCCTTTAACTTGACCCGTGTTGGTGATCGCTCTGTTCGAAGTTATTAATATTATTTATTACCAATATTATTTATCCTTCTTCTTCTTCTTCTTCTTCTTCTTCTCCTCCTTCTCTTCTCCTTCTCCTCCTTTCTCCTCCTTCTCCTCCTTTCTCCTCCTTCTCCTCCTCTCTCCTCCTTCTTCCTCCTCCTCCTCCTCCTCCTCTTCTCCTCCTCCTCCTCCTCCTCTCCTCCTCCTCCTCCTCCTCCTCCTCCTCCTCCTCCTCCTCCTCCTCCTCCTCCTCCTCCTCCTCTCCTCCCTCTCCTTCTCTTTCTACTTCTTCTCCTCCTTCTCCTCAGTTATCGAAGTTATCGGTGTTAAGTGTCGCCTTCGTCATCACACAAGCGAAGGTCTGCGGCGGCTGGCAACGACATCTTGAGCAGCAACTCGGACGCACAACCACACTCAGGGACGTGCATGGGTCTTCGCAAGTGCATGCAAGTAGTACCTGCGGAAAAAGGAAACAATATAGTACCTGATCAAATTATTAGAAATGAAATGACATAAGTATTGAGATTTATAGGTAAAAAAAGGCAGGGTAAACTGAAGCCTGATGCAAGTCCAATGGGAAAGAAAAAATAATGGTCGAGTACAAGAAAGTATTGACAAAAACATGAGATCAATGAACCAAACAAATAAAAAAGTAAATGAAGTAAAAATAAAATCAGGTAATAATAATGTTAAAAAAGAAGAGAAAGAGAAAAAACAAACAGAGAGCATTGCTTTATCTTAATGAAAACAAAATATTTTTCAATCTACTATATAACATTGCTAACACCATTGAGAAAATGTTGTACTCTTATTTAACATATAATAGCATTTAAAACAAACAAGCGACCTAATTTCTTTATCTATTTTATCCGCTCTTCATAGCAACCGCCTGCGTATACACTTTCTCATACCCATAATTTTTCATTACTTTATGACCTCATTCGTCGTCAGTAATGAGTGTGTTTTGTGCTGAGTATAACCCCGATTCTGGTCCATTTTTAAGTGGATGGGAGATACCGCAGCACTAATGGGCAGGGAATAAATAAATGTACTAGATGTCAAAAGGTCATAGAGGACTTTGGTAAAGTATTGTGGCGAAAAAGGTGAAAATAAGTGCACGATTAGAACGTGCCAAATGTCAATGGTTATAGTAGCAGCAAGATACTCGAATGCTTATTATATATATGCACAATATGATATTTCTTTTAGTAAAAATCATGTTCAGCGCAGCAACAGTCGAATTTAGTGATAAATCAGGGCACAATATTAAGGCTAAATATTACAAAAAAAAAAAAAAATTTGGCTGAGAGGTTAATATTACAACAAATATTAATTTTGGCTGAGAGGTTAATGGTTAATGGTTGAAAAAAATGTGCTAGACATCTAAACTCGTATAGCACTATGGTAAAGCATTGTGGCGAAAAGGGATAAAAATAAGTTAACGATTAGGATAAAGCAAATTAAATGTCAAAGGTTATAGTGTGTTAAAAGAAGGAATAATTGGGAAAAGGGTTAAGAGGGGGTGCAAATGAACTAGATCAGAGATTATTAAGGAAAGGTTTAAGGGCATAGGGGCAACTGGATGGAACCGAGTGTATCTGTGCTGGGGAAGCTATAGGAACATTGTTTAGGGAAAACTGGCAAAAGAGCTATTACGAAATGATCAACGGGCAATGCAGGGGTAGAGATGGCTGTTGGAGAAGCAGCAGGAGAATCAGGGGGATGGGATAAGGAGACTGGGGAAGGTGGTGAAGTATCAGGGAGAGTGTCAGGGAGGGAGGGATCAGGAAAAGGACACTGTTGCGATAGTAGGAGGGAGGGAGAGGAGAATGGGGGACGAAGAGGGGAGGGTGCAAATGGAGGAGAAGAGGATGGGGTGTGTTAGGAAAGAGTGGGAGGAAGAGGGATGGAAGGAACTTGAGGGGGAGAGAAGGGGAGGAGGGAGGAGGAGGAGGAGGAGGGAGGAGGGAGGAGGGGAGGAGGGAGGAGGAGGGAGGAGGAGGAGGAAAAGGAGCAGGGGGAGGAGGAGAACGGGGAGGAGAGGAAGGAGAGGAGGAAGAGGAGCAGGGGGAGGAGAGGAAGGAGGAGCAGGGGGTGGAGAGGAAGAAGGAGCAGAGGGAGGAGGCGAAGGAGGAGCAGGGGAGGAGGAGGAAGGAGAGGGAGGAGGAAGGAGGAGGAGGAGGAGGAAGGAGGAGGAGGAGGAGGGAGGAGAGAGGAGGAGCAGGAGGAGGAAGGAGAGGAGGAGGAGGAGGAAGGAGAGGAGGAGGAGGAGGATGAGGCATGAGGAGGTCTTTGAATGTAGAGGGAATAGGAATAGAGGGATTGGAGGGTGGACGAGGGAGCGGAAACATTCTCTTGGGCCATGTCTAGGATGTCTAAGAATTTCAGGAGGGGAGTTGGGTGGGGAGGTCTGAGAAACAAAGATTATCTTGTGAGGTGGAGAAGTAGGGATAGATGTTCGAGGAGCAGAGGGAAAGGAGGGTGTAGGAGAGGATGTGGAAGGCGAAGGTGGAGTGGAACGCTTAAGGTGAGGCGAGGGTTGAGGTCTAAGGTAGGGGTGATCCCCTCCATTGGGCTCCAGTCTTCGTCTCCTAAGACCCCCCCCCCTCCTACAGCAACGAGCAAGGATTGGGGGAGGGGGGGTCAGTAATACTAAGATGCCAGGCAGTAAGAACCAAAAAATGACATATTTCCCTTTCTTAAGTACATAGTAAGTGCAATCATACCTGAGCGGTTTCGTCATGTAGTCAATCATCATCGGGGAATCAACGCCGACGGGGGCGCACAGCCGCATCCACTCTTCTCCTCCATCTGCGAGGATCCCTCACGATAAGCCGCCGGGCAGGGAGTTAGCCCATCTCGAGATCCTCACGACAGGTTTGATCGATCTGCCTAAGCCACGACTTCCTAGGTCGTCCCACAGGCCTCCTCCACCCAGGGCTGACTCTTGCAGGGACACCCTGGTGGGCAGGATCATCCTGTGGGAAGCGAGCCAGGTGGACATATAGCCTGAGTTGGCGATCCCGGATTGTTAACAGGTCCTGTGCCAGTCTCATGGTGCAACCGTTGGTTGGAGACTTGGTCCCGCCAACAGTACCCCATGATCCGGCGTTAGGACCTATTATAAGCTCTCTGTGACTTCAATGTCCTCGACGCAAGCACGTACCGACCGAGCAGGTTCTTCTAGCAAGTCTCGAAAATCCTGGATCTTGGTCTTCCTCCAGAAGACCTCTAGACCCAAGGGCTTCGCTTCATCGCTAAATGCATCCAGAGTCACCACTAAGGTTTCCAAGAACTCAGATAGAATAGCAACATCAGCAGCAAAGCCAAGCTTAGAAACCTTGATATTGCCCAGAGTTGATCCACAATGGCTTTGAACAGCTCTGCCCAGTATCCAGTCCCTACAAGCGTTGAAAAGTGTTGCTTGCAAGGACACAGCCTTGCCTCACTCCTGAACTAACAGGAAAGAAGCTCGACAGCCCCCCCCCCCCCCCCACTTTATAGCACTTTCAGTGCCAGTATACAGGCTTGCTAATGGTTCAATAATCCTTGTTGAAATTCCTCTCAGTTTCAGGATCTCCCAGAGTGATTCCCGATGGACTGAATCGAACGCCTTCTTGAGGTCGACGTAGGCTGCAATCAGCCCACACCCGAACTCATGACGGCGCTCTACAATGACTCGAAGCGCTATGATACGGTCTATTGTGGACTTCGCAGGAGTGAGTCCAGATTACTCAGACCTCTAGTGTCTCGGTAGATGGTCTCTGATACGTCTCAGAAGGATATGGCCCCCTTCCCCTTCCAGAGAGGGATAACCACACCCCTCAACAGGTCAGGGGGAACGGAACCGGACCGCCAAATGGCAGCCAGAACAGCATGCAACCCCCGCGCCATAAGGTTCACCACCAGCATTTAACAGTTCAGCTGTGATGCTGGGTGGGTCCGGTAACGGAATCTCGGCACTACCCGCATCCAAGTTAACTGTTGATCAAGCTGGTACAACTGCTCAAAATACTCAGCCTAGCGTTCCCGCACCGCAACAGCATCTGAGACGATCTGGTCACTTACTAAGCGAACCACAGTCACCTGTAAAGAGGGCTTGGAGTTTCTCATGGCTTGGTTAGCAGGACGAAGGTCATTTACTCAGAAATGGCCTTCGACCTCCTCAGCAAAACTAAACTGTTCCTTGTCCCTTCTCAACAGTGACCGAGTTCCGCGCACCTGAAAACGGTACAAATCTCGCTCCCCTGCCAGACGAGCTTCACAACAAGCATCTCTAGCTTCCAGTGTCTCCTCC